ACGCACGGCCGTGCAACATACAATTCTGGCCGTGTGAGTTGGCTGAGGTTCAACTAATTGATACGCCGCGTTTTGAGGTGCACGGCCAGAATGGTGATGTGCACGGCCGTGCACCCTGGCCGTGCGAGTCGGGAATGGCTGTTTTTAACCCAAATTCGAGCCAAAGGAGGGGGAGAGCTGGGTTTTGGATCCCAAACACCCAAGGGACGAACCCTAGAGAGAGAGAGCGACTTGGGAACATTCTTGGAGCTATTTTGGAGGATTTCTTCGCCATTGAAGCTCGGGAATCAAGCTTGGAGATGGAGATTGAAGATCTAGATCAGATTTCTGCAGTATCTATCTTCTCTATGGAGTAACTTCCTTTCACTTAGGTTTTGAGGAACCCTAGTTCCATGAGTTAGGATCTTTCTTGTATGAAGTTTTGGATGCTTTATTGTTTGATTATAATCGATTGAGGCATGATTTATTGAGTCAATTGAATCTTGATCAAATTCTCTTGATTTCTGCTTTAACCTATGATAGATAGAATCTGATTAGGTTAAGAGAGCTTCCTTGATTGATAGTGGTAAATTGGTTGTGCGAGAGTCAATCAATTCACTGCTCTGTACTGGAGTCCAATTCCAGTAGTGGAGTTCTGTGCTTATTGCTTCAGCTTTCTATCCCGGTGAAGACTAGTCGCCTGCCGGATAGTTAGACTGAGAGGGCTTGGTCGGCTTAAGAGATTCCAAGCTACTGTCGGATCTTCCGCAGTTTAATCAACAGTAAATCAACCAAAATGAATTACAACTGACCTAATTGAGGAGCTAGGGGGAATCATACCTAAGTGAGTTCCCAAACTGTAATTAGTAGTTTTACTTAGTTTAGTTAGTAGAGTAGTTTAGTTAATCAATCCTTAATCTAGTTTGCTAGATAATGAACTGAAGCTGAGTAATAGTAACTCTAGAGACCCGTGGATTCGATATTTATTACTTGTGCCACTATACTGCAGTCCCTTTCATTGGTTACACTTGGCCATTGTTAGGTGTTGTGTTTTAGAGTGTCAAGTTTTTGGCGCCGTTGCCGGGGACTTTCTAGATTATTAGGAAAGGCAGAAGTTTGTTACTTTAGCGTTTTTCGTTTCTTTTCTTTTCCACCCTTGCTTTTCACTTGGGTGTTTTTGTTTTTGTTGGTGCAGATCTGAATCATGGATCCTCATGGCTTCTCCAATCATTGGGGGTATCCACCACCATCTGGGTGGTATTACCCCGAGACTCCCTACAGCAATCAAGGAGGAGAAGACTATGGATTCGGGTTCCAGTACCAACCCCCTTACTACGGAGAACAACCAGACCCCTGGGCATATCAAGAACAATCTCCTTATAAGAAGAATTCCTCCCACAACAAGAAGGGCCATCGGATCTGAAGTTACCCATGGCGGCCTTCACGGGCCATTCTGCAGAGCCATGCTACACTCCACAGCCAGATCCAAACTATGAATTGAGGCTTCTCGTGGAGCAGATTGCTCGAGTACCTGAGAGATCTTTTCCCGAGATGGATCCTCATATCCAGGCCATTGCCCAAACTGACTTTTCCTTCCCCCGTGAAACAGAGGATACCATCCGGAGCATAAAGAAGCACCTAGAGGTCATTGAGAAAGCTTGTTCACAGTTTTCTCAAGACAACCTTTATGCTGCCATACAAGTAGAGGAGGAGGAAGAAAAAGGCAATCATGAGGATGTTGAGGAGCATACAGAAGTTGTCATAGAAAGCTCCCATGATAATCATGATCAAGTGTATCCTTTGGTGGTAGATCATAACTTTCACCATTTCCGCTCTGACATGCTGGGCTCGAGTGAGGAGATGCAAGCTGAACTTATCGAGAACCTTGCATGGAGACTTGCTCTCCAATTCGTGCTGGAAGAAGAAGAGCAAGAAAGGGTGCAGAAAGAAGTTGTGGAGGATGACAAAAGTGAAGCAGAAGGAGTTCTTGATCTTTTCTCAGGGGTGATACCACATGAAGAAGAAAGGGAGGTTGAGGAAGCAATTGGCGTCCAGGCTGAGGATGAAGTTGAGGTGGAAGAGGCATGCACCGGCCATGAGTTGCAAGTAATATCCCCACCAAACTTCGAGGAGCTGCTTGGCAAGGACCCATTTGCAGTGTCTCTTTGCCAGACCAAGGCCACATCGACATCGGTCCCTCTTGGTGGACGCGATGGTGGCCAATCGATGTTGTCATATCTGGTTTGGGGCAATGAGACGAGAGAAGAGAAAAAGAGGTCTCGAGGGTGGAGACTTCATCTGCATCAAGTACATGAGCCTTCATCACCTGCCACACCACATGCTCGTGACTTGAGACTCCACCTCATCGACGAGAACCTCAACTTCAAGGAGGTTCTAGCATGGACCGAAACTTAGAAGCCATCGTCCGGCCCACGACGTGAAAGAAGCGCTTGTTGGGAGGCAACCCAACCAGTCGGTTTGCATTTCTTTCTCTTTTTCTCCTCGGTTGAGTCAGTTTTGTTATTTGATTTTAAAGTCAATAACTCAACCTTTGTGAGATTTTGTGTGGTGTTTGTGTTCTGATTACTCTCTCTTTCTGGAATGCACCGCCTGACCCTTTCATCATCATTCACCCTTGATCTGGTAACTTCGTTCTACCCTCCTTATCTTTCCTCCATTGAGGACAATGTCGTGCTTAAGTGTGGGGGGATGTTCGATTATTTATGCGGGTGAATGTTTGGCTGTTTGTGTGCTTGGAGCCTAGTCCACTGTCCAAATTTTTAAATTTGAGGGCTCCAAGTACGTGTTCCATGCAATTGCCTGCTCAGTATGCTTTGAATTGACAGTCTTTATAGTGATATGCAACCTAGGGAGGTAGTGTAGCACTATGGAGGATGTTGATGCATTTAAGGAATCTCATTTCTTCTTCATATCGTGTTGGTTGATTGAGTGAATTAGTGATTTTAGGACCCTTGAATTGTGTGGTGTTGTGGATTTCTACCTGTCATGGACTCTTGTATCATGTTTTGAAAATAGCAGGTGCTCGAAAATGTGCTTCAAAATAACGTCTCCCGTGCGAATAGGGCGAAAGTGTGTAAGGGGAGACGGGAATTCGTTCCCAATTTCCACCTACTACCTCCAGCCCCCTTACATGTCTTTCCCCCGCACGAGGCTCGAGACATCCGCTCCTGGCATGGCCGGTAAGAGCAGGTTGGGACCCTTGAAAAAGAAAAGAAAAGAAAAATATCAGAAAACAAGCAAAACAAAAAAAAAAGGGGTCTCAACCATCTTCAAGAAGCAGAAAATAGAGCACCTTGAAAAATGTGAGTCCATGATCTGTTGTTTTTGAGAATCTCCTCATCCACAATTCATTTGTCCTCTGTTCACTATTTGCCATGATGCCGACTCGCCGAAGAAGTTATGAGATGACTTGTGCGTCGGTTGACCTCGTAAGCTGCTAAATGATCTAGGAAGTCCTCTACCTACGATCTGGGTTGTTTGTTGCTATAGAGGTCTGGAGAGTTGCATTGGTTTGAGTTAGGTTTGCTTGGGGACAAGCAAACAGTTAAGTGTGGGGGGATTTGATGACTCGGTATTTGCACATGTTTTCCCCTTTGTTTCTTGATTGTTTGAGCTTGAATTATTGCGTCTTTGGCCTATTTTATGCTAGGTTGTGTTCCTTTGTCCCATTTCAGGTCCTAGCACATAAAGTGAAGCATAGGCGCAAGTTTCAAGTCAATCAGAGATCAATTGACGATTCGAGAGAAGAAACTCGGGCATGACCTGAAGAAGAATGGATTTCTACCTCACTTTATGGACAAAGAATCATGCAAGCTTGTTATGAAACGAAAGAGGACGAGACTACGAGCGTCTGGGATCAAACGGCGATTGATTCGGAGTCCGGACGAGGGAGAAACGAAGCATTAAACAGAGGCTGAGCAAGCTGCACGGGCAGACCAGCGTGGCCACGCACGGCCGTGCAAGTAACCAGTTTGGCCGTGCGGGATTGTGCGTGGGCACGCACGGGATTGTGCGTGGCCACGCACGGCCGTGCAACATACAATTCTGGCCGTGCGAGTTGGCTGAGGTTCAACTAATTGATACGCCGCGTTTTGAGGTGCACGGCCAGAATGGTGATGTGCACGGCCGTGCACCCTGGCCGTGCGAGTCGGGAATGGCTGTTTTTAACCCAAATTCGAGCCAAAGGAGGGGGAGAGCTGGGTTTTGGATCCCAAACACCCAAGGGACGAACCCTAGAGAGAGAGAGCGACTTGGGAACATTCTTGGAGCTATTTTGGAGGATTTCTTCGCCATTGAAGCTCGGGAATCAAGCTTGGAGATGGAGATTGAAGATCTAGATCAGATTTCTGCAGTCTCTCTCTTCTCTATGGAGTAACTTCCTTTCACTTAGGTTTTGAGGAACCCTAGTTCCATGAGTTAGGATCTTTCTTGTATGAAGTTTTGGATGCTTTATTGTTTGATTATAATCGATTGAGGCATGATTTATTGAGTCAATTGAATCTTGATCAAATTCTCTTGATTTCTGCTTTAACCTATGATAGATAGAATCTGATTAGGTTAAGAGAGCTTCCTTGATTGATAGTGGTAAATTGGTTGTGCGAGAGTCAATCAATTCACTGCTTTGTACTGGAATCCAATTCCAGTAGTGGAGTTCTGTGCTTATTGCTTCAGCTTTCTATCCCGGTGAAGACTAGTCGTCTGCCGGATAGTTAGACTGAGAGGGCTTGGTCGGCTTAAGAGATTCCAAGCTACTGTCGGATCTTCCGCAGTTTAATCAACAGTAAATCAACCAAAATGAATTACAACTTGGACCTAATTGAGGAGCTAGGGGGAATCATACCTAAGTGAGTTCCCAAACTGTAATTAGTAGTTTTACTTAGTTTAGTTAGTAGAGTAGTTTAGTTAATCAATCCTTAATCTAGTTTGCTAGATAATGAACTGAAGCTGAGTAATAGTAACTCTAGAGACCCGTGGATTCGATATTTATTACTTGTGCCACTATACTGCAGTCCCTTTCATTGGTTACACTTGGCCATTGTTAGGTGTTGTGTTTTAGAGTGTCACAGGCCAGAAGCCTCATTTATCCTCTGGGGGCCACTCGAGGCTGGCTTTCTCCACCTTATCCAGATCATCAACCGATTCCACAAACTGTTTCTTTGGGGTAGGAGGGTTACCTACCTCCCCCTCCAACTCATCAATCACACGTTTCCGATTCTCCATGATAGGGTCCAACATATTAGACCCATATTCATTCAGCCTTGAACTCCCTCCCTTGTCCCCACCATCCTCCTCCCTTGCAATGACTAACCCAACTTCAAACGCTTCCACTACTTGGTGGACACGCCCTTTCATGATGTAGCGAGTTTTCAAAGTATCCTCGACTGGCGACCGTCGCTTGATCTCAAAGGAGTTATGATCCTCAACTGTCTGATCATCATCAGAATCACTGTCATTATGTTGAGTCTCCTCAACTGGCTCGCCCAAAGGATCAACAAAATCCCTCTCCACCAAGTCAAGCAGATCGCCAGAAGGAGTAGAGCCCCCATCCTTGTGGGATGAACTGAGAGTGCAGACTGCTCCTCCTTTTCGAAGACGCGGGCGAGCCCGAGGTTTCGAGCTAGGGTCCTTCGTCGGTCCAACAGGAACACCCAGCTTTATAGGGGGATTTGACCCACCACCAATGGTCTCATCCTCCTCCTCCTCCTCCTCCTCCTCCTCAGATTCCTCTTGTAAAATCAGCCTGCGTCTCCTCGATTGCTCGAAAGCTGCCGCCATCTGGCCCACACCCTGCTGGCGTTGTGGAGCTTTGGCACGCCGATCAGGCTGCTGGCGCCCCTTAGCGCCCTGTCAAGGAGGAGGTACAACCTTTCTGGGTGATGCCTTCTTCTGATGTTGTCGAACACTTCCACCAATCTTAACCCGAGGCGACGTCTTAAAGATAAAGGTTAACTACACTTACAAATATAGGGTGTTAATGAACAAACTTAATCCAACGAATACATAAGTTTTCCTGAGTTACGTTTACGAACATAACTCGTAATTTCTCTCAACATCTATAATATTATTAAAAAGCTTTCCTACTGTTATGAAACTAATGAAAATATAAACAACTATAAGAGAAGATTAGAGAGAAAAAGACACAAGAGAAGAGAGGGGAATAGTTCTTCTTATTCATTCTTCACTTTTGATACAATGGTGTGCTATATTTATAGGCACACTTTGGTAACCACTACATCCTTATATCAATGCATATGAATGAGAGATAATAATGTAGAAATAAGGGTTACATGTAACTCCCAAGTGAGCATCTAATGTGGTAGGTGATTGGTCATCCATATATCAATATTTACATAATACTCCCCCTTGGATGACCACTAGATTGCATTAACCTATATCATACTGCCTCATTAAAAACCTTACCAGGAAAACCCATTGGGAAAAAACCATGGTTAAGGGAAAAAGAGTGCAGTGCGTATATGCTCTCCCTCATGACCACATCACTTTAGATTATTGAGTCGTTGAACTCAAGTTTCACGAACAACTTTTAGAAAGATTGTTGCCAGGAGTGAATTAGTGAACAATCTTCTAGATTGTCAATTTGATGCATGATCTTTAGATTTTTCTTCATACATGATCGTCAGGATCATTTCATTTGAAAATAGTTCACAACCACAAGTACTTGAGATATAGTGGATCACAAAGTGTAACGAAAGACATTCGGGACTTGCCCATTATAGTTTGTTTTGTTTCTTTATGAAACATTTATATCACCATATGTAAGAGATAACTCGTCTCTGATCAACCAATATAAGGATCAAATGATATATAGGATTTGGATATATAGTTTACCAAATATCTCTTTGATAATACCATAATAGAACAATCGCATATATTGTTCCTGGAGGTAACAAAGTATTTTCCAACGTTCTAATGAGGAAAACATTGTATCTTGCCAATATTATCAACACCAAAATGATAGTTTATATGGTGCTTGGCTAGCAAGGTGCATTGGTGCTCTAATGCATCAGCATATGGTACTTTAGGACCTAATGTTTCACTTCTTTCTTTATTTCTAAATGGATCTTTGGTCACTTCTAGTGATCTTAGGATCCTAATGTTATTTGATGAACACAATTCGTTCATGCAAAATTACTTTCCCACTTTTTCAATATTACCTTCCTTGCCCATAAAATGGATCTTAAATCCTTCAATTTAACTTATGTCTCGAAGCAATCAACTGCTTTAGGAAACTCTTCAGGAGATACAATAATAGTCATATCATTAACATAATATGAGATCGTAAAAAAAACTTAACTAACACAAATTGATGCAGGCAATTCTTTCATATAACGAAAGATAATAACAAAACTCACATCATAGAAACATATGAACTAGACAAAGCACACTCAAAAAACACAACTCATACTTTAAAGTAAATCACAACTCATAAATCAAGAATTTAAAATCCTTGAAACACATACAGACAACACAACTATATATGCACAATGCAAATACTCGTATGCACTCTATCTGAATTTAACCTTTTAAGGTCCATTCACCCTACAGTTGTAGGTGTTCACTTAGACGAGTATTTCACATTCGTCTATATTGTCTCAACCCACACAAGGGATTTTCTTAGTCTATCTATATATGTTCTCGAGAACTTTACTTGTTTACTTCGGGTAAATTAATCCTTCTTGGAGTTTCAAATATATTTAACATCTTCAGAGAATTCAAACAAATAGGCTATCACAACAATTTTCAAACATTGATTTGAAAAGGTAGTTGCATCCACCACAGGGGAGTATAACTCCTCTTAAACAATGATAGGTCTCTTCGAGAAACCCATTGCAAAACATTATGCGATATCTCTCACAATTTCATACTTTCCAATAGCACAAAAATTTGTTTGTATCCCGTTAGTTTTGCCCTTTTTTAGGTGCAAGGACTTCTGGCCCTTAAACTTTATGCTCCTTGAGCAAGTTTCATGATTTCTTTCTATATTGGCCAATAACATCATCATTTGCATGTATCAATAGAGTTTTACTCTTGATCCTCACTTGTACATATCATATTCAGTACTGAAGTACAACAAACAAATTTCATCGACAATGATTTCATTACGGTTCTAGTATTGTAGTCTAATATGGTTTTGAGATCTCTTCGCTTTCATAACTTTCAGAGACATGTGTTATTCTGGAACTAAAATTATATTTTATTCTTGGTTACTCTTCTTGAGTTTTCATGTCCTCGAGTTGACCATTCTAATTACAACTCCTTTTCTTTCTCGATGATGTTTATCATTGGAACCGATTGGTCTATCACGCTTCATGCGCTCTTTCATACACATTTTTTTATATAAGAGTATCTAACAAGGATGTCAAATTTAGTTGGAGCATTCACAGCTAGTATATGTGAATTGGTCACTTCGTATGGCCAGTAAAGGCATTTGATAGTTGGTAACGATAATTCATCTTATGAACTTCAGGTTCAAGTTTCTTACTTTGAGGATCAAAACTAGATAATGATAAGTCATTCCAACTCATCTCTTTGTCTAGCTGTTTTTTTTTCTCTCCCCCTTAATGTTGGAAAAGTGATTCATCAAAACAATAATTTCGCAAACAAATTTTCCATTTGGGATTCATACCCAACACAAATTCTCAATTTCCAACGAGAATCAACTTAAGATACTATGGTGGAGCAATTGGGATGTATGCGACACACCCTGATATTCTCATATGAGAAATGTTAGGTTTTTGACAAAAATCATTTGTAAAAGGGGGAAACTTATGATAACTTGTTGGTTAGATGTGAACCAATACTATCACTTGCCAGCTAGCATGTCCTCGACAAGAGATCAGAAGGCTTAGTTTGTTCTCTTAAGCAAAGTGATGTTTGATTGGATAATCATAAAAATGTATCCATAGTGAGGCAATCAATCTCGCAAACATCGGGTTGCGATTAGATAAAATAAAAGTGATCATATAAAATATCAAGAGATTTGCCAACTCTTATACAAGCTCTGATCAATTGTTCTATTCTCCTTGAGAACAAACATGACATAATAACTCTTTTTGTTGAAGAGTTCTTTGACTTCTCATATGATGTTGTCATGAATTCTCAAAGAAGTTTTTTCACATCAAGATTCGGGATGGTCTAACCGGACCAACCAATTATCAAGTTATCAAATCTTGTAAACTTCTGGTTTACACTTTTATGTGTATGGATTGTACTAATATATATGTAGTACATATTTGTGATGCAAATATTAGTTTCACTATTTTCTTGATAAGATATTCATTTTACGAATATACTTTTAATTGGGTAATGCATCATCAATAGGTAGTTTGGTTCTTTCAGGCCACAAAATTAGCTCCTTTAAAACTTTACCATATTTTGTACCATATTCCACCCTTCCGGGGACTTATGATTTGATGCATTCTTAGTAAACACATATTCATAGTGAATATCATCACAAATTATTATCACGAGTACATAATTTAGTTACTTCAGGTAACCAAACATAAGCTTTTCGGAAGCTTTTTCTCATTTATGTACTCTACCATATAGTTTATATGGAATTTTTCTAACAATCATACTTTACAAAAACATACTAAAATAATAAATGAGAATATTTCAAACTTAAGACAAAAATGAAAAATTTATCAAGTTAATTGTTCTAGATAAAGGTTATCAAATTAAATTATGCATGAAAAATAACGTCACAATAAAACATAAAAGAAATAAGAATCATAATACTACAATTGTGAAAATTAAATAAGCTTTATTTGGAACAATACCATCACTAACTAGGTGATTTTAAATTTATATATGCGTTCCATTATGCATTTCAATGTACAATAGGTACTCTATGTTATCATGACTTTGATAATGAAATTGTTATTTAATCCTTATTTATAATTCTTCTCTTTTCTCACTTCTGGTGAAAAGATCCAAACAATACATTTAGCATATATATAATCATGTTTATAGCTCCATTCACTTCGGGGAATAGATTGTTTCATTCGCTTCTGGGAATGAAAATGTCTCAAGTGCAATATCATTTTCATCTTTAATGGAGAATATACCAACTTATAATACAAAAAATATGTTCCATAATATTGAGCAGGAGCGTATATAAATTTGCTCTTCCCTTTGATTCTTGGTAGAATAAAGTATTTTGCGTACAACGGGAGACAAACACACTTTTCCATTACAATGGTAACATACAGAACAAATATTCTTGTTACCATGTCCACTTCTTTCTATCCCCTTGGATTCTTCAATTTTCACTTCTAGGGAATATATGGGCTCTTGGAACTTGCATTTTCTACATATCAATGTGGGATTGATAAGAACAGAATAACACGGAGAATTGAAAAATTAACTCATCACTTATATTACTTTTCTTGTTATAGCTACTACATGAGCAGATTTTAATTTGCGATAATGTCAAAACACCAATTTAATTTTAAGGAATCGATGTATGTATTGTAAAACACATAATAATATAAATCAAATTACACAACCCAAAATTTTAATTTAAATAGATGTACGAGATAAAATATTAATGGGATGGAATACTACGAGAAAAGAGTAGCATCCATCTTAATATATTGGAATGAGATAATCTCACCACAAATAAGACAATAAGATATGAAAGAAGACAAAGATTTTGCATACCTTGATCATATTGTGATCTTACTCCAATATACTAGATTGTGTAGAGAGACAATGACCAACCATGATGCTAGCAGAGTTTCATGCTGATAACGTGTTATGAAACTAATGAAAATATAAACAACTACAAGAGAAGATTAGAGAGGAAAAGACACAAGAGAAGAGAGGGGAAGAGTTCTTCTTATTAATTCTTCACTTTTGATACAATGGTGTGCTATATTTATAGGCACACTTTGGTAACCACTACATCCTTATATCAATGCATATGAATGAGAGATAATGATGTAGAAATAGGGGTTACATGTAACTCCCAAGTGAGCATCTAATGTGGTAGGTGATTGGTCATCCATATATTAATATTTACATAATACCTACAAATATGTTTCTATAAAGTCTTGTTAGATCCCTAAATTATCACTGATATTAGATTTATAGTTGCATTCGTTATAATATAACTACAATTCAACAAGCTTTTAGTTCCCTAATTAGGTGTTGTAAAAAA